TCTATATAAAATATATATGCATAGAAACATCACCGCCCTGATCCACCATTAGCAGACATGACACTTCAAACCCACAAACAAAGAGTGCTACTCGTCCCCTTCGCTACTTTCACGAAATCATTAACACACAACGAGGTGGCTCGCCAGCTTTAATTAAAACCGTAATTCTCTCTCTTTCTTCTTCTTCTTCTTCTTCTTCCTCTCTCTCTTTCTCGCTTATCTATGGAACCTCCTCTTCCTCCTCCAGAACCCAACAACACTACTGATACCAAAAGCAGTGATACCACCACAAGTGACAACACCACCAACACCACCAACACAACCAAAAACGAAGACACCGTCGCCAAAAATGACACCACCAACAGTGGCAGCAGCGGGAGCAGTTCGACCAGGAGGTGTAAAGGGAAAGGTGGACCAGATAACAGCAAATTCCGGTACCGAGGTGTGAGACAACGGAGCTGGGGCAAATGGGTCGCCGAGATCCGGGAGCCGAGAAAGCGGACTCGGAAATGGCTCGGTACGTTTTCTACAGCCGAGGAAGCCGCAAGAGCTTACGACCGCGCTGCTCTTATCTTATATGGATCAAGAGCTCAGCTCAATTTACAGCCATCCGGCTCGACTTCCTCCTCATCCTCCTCCTCTCGCGGCGGCTCTGCGTCGTCTTCTTCAACCACTTCATCGACTCAGACTTTGAGGCCTCTTCTTCCTCGCCCTTCGGCTTTTGCCTTCACTTTCTCTTCGGCTTCCTCCACTTCGACTCTCTTGATGAGTACTCAGCACGCGCTGCAGACGCCGGTGGCGGCAGAGCTGGCTGCTTCTTCCTCGGGGTTCATGCCGTTCGGTGCTTACCAAAACGTCGTCGTTGGTGGGTCTTCGGCTGCTCTGCTTTGCCCTAGCATGGTGATGACCAGTACTTCTACTGCTACTACACAACTCCCAGTTTTCTATCAACACTATCTTCAGCATCACCATCATCAATATCTACCGTCCGATCAGATTAACGTCGGAGATATTTCGACCCATTATCATCATCATGGACCTACATCTGCGACAACCTCGTATAATCAAAACCCTACACCCCACCGCCATCACCATCATCATCAACCACAACAGCAAGAAGAGCAAGAGGGCTGTGTTTTTGATGTCAACTCGCTCGTTGGCTCGGTGGATTCGAGTTTGTCTCTCTCGACTCAGTCTGCCGAAGCAGTTATTGCACCACCGCCACTCCCACCAGCTAATCCGGATCCGGGTTTTTCAGTCGGTCACGGATCTACTCCGGTGTGGCCTTTGACGGGGAGCGCCGAAGACGATTACCCACCATGCAGTATCTGGGATTACCCTGATCCCTTCGGCTTCCTCGATCTTGATTTTTGAGAGATGGTTCTTTTTCTTTTTACAGAGATTTAAACCCCCAAAGAGAAGTTCGAGATGGGTTTATAATACAATTATATACTTGTTCAACATTCCACACAAGGGATTGCATGCAAGGGTTTCAGGAAAAAGAAATTCGGAGGTGAAGATGATGATCGTCATCAACTTAAGATCTCTCTACAGGCAAAAGGGAAGGAGAGATCTATGCATGATGATCTCAAAAAGCTGCATGCGTTAGTTTGATTACAGATATATAGTTTTATATGTATACACGGGTAAGGCTCTATTTGGTTTAATGGAGTGATTTTAGGAAATCAGATTGATTGACTTTGCTTTTATCAGCTAGGGTTAATCAATTTAAAGCTGCATGGCGTCATAGGTGATAAAGAATTCAAGATTCTTGAGTCAAAAATGCATCTTTGCGTCAATCTATTTGATGTCAAAGATAAAAAGAAAATTTGTTAACTCTTATGTTACAATAAGAGAAGAGAAAAAAATATCTGAATCTTTTTTTCTACATGATTCAGTATTATGTGTTACGAATTACGAATTACGAATTATTTGATTTGAATTTCTTCATTTGATATATGTTTCTCAACTGTTGTTTTAAGTATATGCATGGATTCAATGTCCAGGTAATCCGTTTATTCAGTATTTTGATATGCGTTAATTTTACTTAAATTCTTGAATTCTTTGAATCATGGATTTGCACATATGCATGCAGTTTATATATTAGATGTTTCAATTCATGTTTATATGCACGTACACAAAATCTGGGATCGAAAACTGTATTCTTCTTTTTTAAAAGAAAATATTGTGAGTTAATATTAATTTGATGTTCTCTTATAACGCTATAGGGGGAGAAATGTATTCCAATGGCTTTTTCTAAATTGTGAATTCACATTTTATACATAAGTTGTAAATTTGTAAATGAATTGATTAATTTCTTAATTGTTTGAATTACAAATTCCATTGTTTTCAAGGCCGTATGTAGTTTTGATTTGGGTATGGGAAATTAGTATTCATATGTAAATATATATGTGTGTGTGTGTGTGTATATATATGTTCAGAGAGAACATTATTTTACCCTTTTTTTCCAAAATCTTTATTCTGTTTTTTTTTTTTTACAATTAATGTTTAATCTAACAGAGCCTTCAAGACATTGATTAAACTTTCAAAGGTCTTTTATAGAAAAATTTGAAATAGAAGGTTTCTAGTTCATGTGTATTGGGGAGGAAGATCCTTTAGCCAGCCTTGTGAATCTCTTTGTAATTTGAGAAGACATTGCAGAAGAGGAATTACGTATGAAGAGAAATAAGTATAGTATGTGTGTGTGTGTATACATATATACATATATATATATATATGTATGTAAGGAAATTGGGTAAAGCGGAGAAAGAAGAAGTATAATCTTCTTAAAATTTATCATATCACATATTTTCTTACAATGTCTATTTCTGCTGGTCAATAAATTATAAACTGATT